TTTTTGTTAAGGAGTGTAAGTAGTTGACTTAATGTAATTTTAAGAAAACTTAAAATTTGTAAATTTTGTTGTTTTTTAAAAGGTTTTTATAATTAATTTAATAAGTTAACAAGTTGATGTTTTAAAACTTCTATATTATATATAAAATAAATAGCAGAGCAAGTTTACTTAGAGCACCAAAGTAAGTTTGTATAATAGTTCAAGAAGTTATAGTCATTTTTGTTTTGAGATTTTTTAGAATTTGTTTTGTTTAAATGATTTCTGAATAGTTAACTATATTGTATATAAAAACAGATTAAGATTTAATTATTAAAAAATAATACAAAGAGATATATCTATTCTAAAATAATTAAAAATACTAAAAAAGCACACATTTTGATCAACAAAATACGGTATAGTGATTGGCTTTTTATTCGTGATTTTATTAGTGAAACAAAAAAAATATGATTCCCTGTGAAAATAATTGCGACAGTATCTGGAGCTTTAAGTATGTAATTAGTATTAATGATATTATTTTATTTTTTGAGTAAATGAATAAGTTATAAACATTAATAATTGTTATTATAAAAATTCTCATAGGTAAACATGATCGTTAATAATGGTCTAATATATAGTTATCATGACGTAATTGTAATTGTTATTAAAAAATTTTTTTAGAGTCAACGTGATCATTAATAATACTCCGATAAATAGTTATCATGTCGTAATTATGATAATTGATGAGTGTAATCTATATTTAAAGACTAACGCATACATAAAAATGTCATAATAATGAATAAATACATGATTGCTCAAACAAAATATAGTAGTATAATATATTCCTTTACAACGTAAAATGTTTAATATTAAAAAGTTATAATTGCAATCCAAATTAATCCTTAATACAAATAAATAAAAAACCAAAAAAGTTTAGTATATGTATATAGTTCCAAAATAGTATTAAAAAAAAAGTAAAATTAAAAATCAAGTTAATAAAGCGTAAAACATATACAACTATCAGATATTATAATCAGTTAATATAAAATATCATTCTGAGATCAAGTGTATTAATATAGCATATGGGTATTAATGTATTATAACAAAAAAAAATATACAACAGGAAATAAATGAAACTTTAATATAGATTACCAACTTTTTAGAAGAACATAATATAAAAATAATACAAACTGGTCTACCTTAGCCACTTGGTCATCTTTCAGAAGTAATTTGTACAAAAGCACAATATAGTAATTATAATAAGTTAACTACAAAATAGAAAGAAATGATTAACCAATTAAATTATGAACAAAAAATTATTTACTAAAAAATTATGAATCATGTATATAATAATCTACCTTTAACAATTTTTATAAATGGCCATGCAGGCTATAGTAAAACATATTTAGTAAATCTAATCTGTATCGCAATACGAAGTTTAAAAAAAAAAAAACTTTCATATGCAACAACAGGTTTAGCTGCACTCAATTATAATGGAGGTCATACAGCATATTCATTATTTTATATCCCAGTAGAAAATAATGATAATGGATGTGGTGTCAAATTAATACAAATAGTAAACATACTAAATTAATCCAAGAATCAGCAGCTATAACATAGGATGAAATACCTATAGCACAAAAAGGTAACATTGAAGCAGTAGATATACTTCTTTGTGAACTTTGTAATTGTAACTTGCTATTTGGTAGAAAGATCTTTATTAGAATAGGAGACTTTTGTCAAGTAGCACCTGTGGTCTCAAATGCTAGAAAAGCAGCTACAATTTTAGAATTAATTAAATCATCTCCAATTTGGAGTAAATTTGAAATTTATAATCTTCAGCAATCTATTCAAGATGCTCTTGATCCTGAGTATTCTCAATTAATAGATGATATTGGTGATGGTATAAGTGATGAACAAGTACCTTTGACACTATTAAATACAACATACAGATTAGAAGATGCTGTTAATTTTATTTTTCCAGCAGATGTATTAAATAATCCAATTATATACCTCAAATGAGCTATTCTTTCTCCACTAAATGTAGAAGTAAATTTAATCAACAATACTATCCTACAACAACTAATTGGTAATACAATTAATCTATACAGTATGGATAGTTTAGCAGATGATGAAACAAACAATATTATAAATGAAAATTATCACGTTTAGAGAAATATGGTAACTGTAGAATTACTAAACTCATTCACTTCTCTCAGAGTGCTTTTGCATTGTCTTACATTAAAAAATGGCTGTATTGCTACCATTATGAGAAACTTTTTACTACAAGATAGCTACAAGAGTCATCATAATAAATATAGGACACAGACTAATTACTGTACAAAATTCTATTACAAATTCTATTGTGCACCTACCACATATAACCTTTTTATTTAGAATTTCTTATTTTCACTTCAAAATTAGCCACCACCAATTTCCTTTACATCTTGCATATTCCTCAACTTTCAACTTCTCACAAGGACTAATACTAGACAAAGTTGCACTTGACTTACATACTCCGGTATTTGGCTATGGTCAACTTTACACTGCTCTTACACGAGTCTGTTAATGAAATTATATTTGAATTCTTACAGAACAAAACTACTTACCTAATACATTTATAACAAAAAATATTGTATATTCAGAATTACTTAAATAACTATCAATTCCTTAAAAAATAAACTAAAAAAAACAATTAAATAATATCTGATTTCTATTATTGCTACAAAATTTTAATAATATTTAAATTGTCTCTCTTATGTATATAATTTTAACAACCAAACCTTCAATATCAAAATATACTACTATAACAAATTACAGAAAAAAATAAAATAAGATAATATTATAAATAAACTCAGAAACTTAAATAAATAACTATAACTATATCTAGAAATAAGTATCAAATATACAAATAATTTGTCAATTATCCAATCTTAATTCTATGTAGAAATTAAAATATAAATAATTTAAGCCAGAATATATAATACAAAACACAATTAAAAAATAACAATACAAGAACTCCAGAAAATCCAAAAACAAAAAACTGTCACAATAATAAAGAAACTTTAAAATATCTTCACAGCAAATGTACTCAATATACAAATATCATCTAAACTATACTCTATTTCCACTAAACAAAAAAAAAATCTTCCTAAACTCTCTCTATTACAAATATTCTCCCTACTTATATACATGTTTTTAGACTCAAATTGACTATACTATTAACACAAATATAGTAAAGCAATAAAAGTATAAATAAATAACCTGTAACTATACTAAATTATAAAGTTCCAAAAAGCTTATTTATAAATGTTATGTTACTTTCATAACAAAAACTAATATCTTGCAAAAAAAATATAAAATCAAAAAACAAGTAAACATAATATTGTACTATATAAAATATGCACTTTAACAACACCTAATAATATCTTATTACAAATACAATTATAAACTAATGTATAAATAAATAATAATAAGCAAATAATATTTATTTTAGTTATTAATACAGTCAAACCCCTCTATAGTCACCTCCTCTATAGTCACAAAATTGGTATAATTACAAATTTATTTTTACCAATTATTTATAACTATATAGAAAATACCTCTATATTAGTCACACCTCTTTACAATCACGGTTTTTTGTATCCTGAAGGTGTGACTATAGAGAGGTTTGACTGTATTTATAAAAAAAATAAAAAATTTTAAATATTGTAATATATACAACAACTATACTACAACACAAAAATTTACAATAATCATTCTTTATCTATATCAATATCAGAACTATGAGACTTTAAACTACTACACAAAGACCTACTAACATGCCTACTTCTTTTTTTATTACCACGCACACTTTTTTACCTCTTTTAACAACACTTTTAATCTCACCATCCTGAACTACCTCATCTACATCAATAACATCATCAACCTTAAAAGCACAACTATCAATGTTATCAGTATCAGAAATAAAATCTTCAGAACATTCAACTTTTACTCACTTTGAAGAAAAATTATCATCCTGTACCAAAGATCCAAACTTAAACTTAACACCTATACTATGTAAAGATATAGAAGAAAATAATTCAGCATCTAAAGTTTCTTTTAAACTTCCAATAATATTATGATAAATAGACAAAAGTTGTGCCCAAGTCATATTAGAAATATCAGAATAATTATTTGAATTACTACTATCAAAAGTACTCAGCTTAGGAGAAAAATGTGTATTGACATAATTAATATCCTTTGTGTACACATAAAAATCATTATCAAAAACTTCCATCTGTCTAACAACAAAAACAAGCGAGTTAAGTAGACGAACTAAACTCTTCAAATTAATAAACTGTGGATTATTATGAGAAAAACAACTATAATAATAAAATTATATTCTTGCCTAGCATAATCACTTATCATAACTTTAAAAATAACATTTCTATCATTATCTACTATATAAGGTAACTCTTGAGGAACTCCTACAAAAAAAACTTTTAATGGACATTTACCAAATTTATCATCTTGATTAAAATTACCTATACAAGTTGAAACAGAAACGGTTATCTACAATTAAACAAGAATAAGTATTACTACAACAAAAAAATTAAAAAAATAGAACAACTAAACACTAATACCTTTGGTCTTTTTTTTCCACCATAAACTCCAGGAACAATTTTACCTCCAACGGAGTAAAGAAAATATTTCTCAAATTTAGCATAGGTCTCCAAATTATAATCATCAGAATTCGCAAGAACAAATAAAACCAATTCAATTTTACTATCTTTACACCCTACTGGATAAGCACCAATTGCCCACATACTTTTTTCTCCCTGACAAACAAACTTAATTCATACAATTATATCCACATAACACAGCATAATCAAATACAATAATTAAAAATCTAACAAATTATTATAATCATCTCTACATATAAAAACAAAAATAAATAATTAAAATTATTTAAAAAATATTACAATCCAATGAAATTATCATCATCACAAAAATCTTACCATAATTCATACAATTACAGATATAAATATAACAAACATTCAACATTAACTAACTTTAACAAATACAATAGTTACATGAGAACAAATTCTTCAAATATATACTAACAATTAAGGCATTCCATTAAAATTCAATTACAATTTAAATACATATATTAAGGAGTTTTAAAGATCACTATGCTATGGGTGAGCAGATCTGTATAGTATAGATATGATTTTATCAAATCATACCATATTAATCTGCTTAATTATCACACTCTATAAAAACTGGCTAGCGTAAAGCATAATTTCGAGCAGAGCTAACTTTAAAATCTAGAAATATGACAATTAAGCAAATCAATATGGTATGATTTGATAAAATCACATTCATACTATACAGATCTGCTCACCCATACCATACTTATCTGCAAAACTCCTTAACACAAATCTCCAATTAGATAATTATAACTTAAGTAAAAATAAACTGTACTTTCAAAACCTAAATATTACAAATATTAACATTAAATAATTACAATTTAATAAAAAAAATTAAATACACTACTAAATAAACATATACCAAATCAATAATCAAACACACTATATAAAATGAATATAATAATAAAACATACATATAATAATACAATAAAACATTATATAATACAACAATCAACTTATATCACAAAAATAAATATAATTATCACAAAACTTTACTTAATATAAAAAAACACCAAATCTGTAAAAAGTTACCACAACAAACCAAAATAATCAAATATATCAAAATGCAAAATAACAATATATATATACCTCTAAATATAATAAAAAATTACTAATAAAAAAACTGAACTTTAACAATACAACAATAATACAAAAACATGAAAAAAACAACAAAAAAATAATTACAGAACTAACAAAAAAAACTTCAAAACAATAAAACAAATATTCCAAGATCCAATACAAAATATAACTTTGAATAAAATAGGTGGCGCAAAGTACCACCTATCAAACTAGTATTATATAAAATTTTTATTCTCTTGGCATACATTTGTAATATCCCAACCCAAGTGGTTATCTGAGCTATCAGATTTTAATTAACTATAATCTTAAGGTTTTTAATATAGATATTTTTTAGGCTATAATATTTATTAGCCTTATTCTCTTTTAAGTTAATTCTCTGTTCTCTATTAATGCTTTATTTTTTTTACTTTTTTATAAAAGATATCATCAAATTGGTAGTGTCCAATTGTAAAGCAGTAGTCAGACAATACTTTTCAGATAGTTATAAAGACTTCCTAGTATAGTAAACCATCCATATAATTGGTTAGATTATATGCAAGAACACAGAAATTATGTGATATAAATTTGAAAATTATTCATACAATATTTATTTTATTGATAATATATATAAAAATATTTATTTTATTGATGATCAAAAATAAAAGTCTGAATTTAAACAATATGTCAAATTTTATCTCATAAAAAAATATGATCTTGCAATTTTTTTTAAAAAATAGTTTACTAAATCAAAATTTAAATTAATTTTTTACACTTTTTTTTTTAAAAAAAAATTGCAAATATTGAATTTTTTTTTTCTTTTTTGTCTTTTTATTTTTTATTTTTTTTTTAAAAAAAATAAATTTATGAACTATTAAAGTATATCATATTTAATATTTACAATGATTCTTTACTTAAATTTTGCCTATTATCTACCAAAATTTTATTGTAATCAGAAAAGCTTCTTTTGATAGCACAGAAAGAAATAGGCAACCAAATATAATTCTTTGTGATTATACTTAATTAGGTAATAGATGAGCTATTTTGTCCCAAAATTCTTGTAAATCATTAAATTATATTATTGCTAAATTTAAATTAACATAAATACCCACTCTTGAATTAAACTAATAGATAGATTTGCTAGTTTGAGAATGAATTTATAAGATAGGATATTTTGATTTGCTGTGGTAAATAAATAAAATATGGATCAAAAATTTGAAAATTTTTAAAAAGGGACAAGCTAGATAGTTTACAACATAAACTTAATATTTTTAATAGGCTTTCTTAAATATACCTTGAAAAATATAAATAAAAATATCAGGTTGGAAATTAAGAAAGATAATTAAATTATTAAGATCATTTTCAAAATTAGTCAAAGTTTGTTATCAATTAAAAATTGACCAAGTTGAAATAGATGGGTTTCAATAAGAGAAAATACAGAATTATTTTCAATTTGAAAAAAAATTCAATATTAAAACAAGTATTTGTGTATTAATTATGATAAATTATAAATAGATTTGAATAAGACTATTTAATTGAATATTTTCAAATGTGGCTGCAGTTTCATTAACAATTATAGATGAATTTTTATTTACTTCTTGTTAATAATCTAAATACTCATAGACATAAAAGGCTATATGATACCAGGAATTTCAACAAGTTTCAGTTGGAAGTAAGATTTTTCATGGTGAAATAATTCTATTATACTTGAGATAAAATATATAGCAATTTCAATATACTTTTAAATATCTTAATGTTTGCTTAATTTGATAAAATAATGTTTTTATAACACTAAAATAGTCTATAGAAATTCATGTCTCACCAATTAAATTCATAATATGTGCTAAGCAAGGACTATAAATTAATTGTAGTACAAGTGATTTTTAACTTCGTGATGACACATTTTTATATAAACAGCCAAATTTGAAATAATAAGATGAGTATACTCAAATAGTATAGACCATTTGACTAATATTTGAATAATTAATTTACTGATTGTTCTATTATTAACTTGATCCAAAAATCTACTTCAATTAGTTTAGTGATATATAATAAGAAAAAAGAATATTTATGATACTATGAGCACAAGAATTAGATATTTTGTCTACTATTATTGATACTTTTTTATTTTGAAAAAATTCTTTAAGATCCGTAATACTTTTTTCAAAAACAATAGGTAAATATTCTCTTTATAATGTATTAGCAGCCAGTATTGAACCTCTATCCCAAATATTTTCTCTAATTCAAGACTGTAGTTTATTTGCTTTCTCAAGTGGAATATTTGCTTTTACTAATGCTTTAACAAAAGAAGTTATTACATTCTTTCTAGATTTAGCAGCTTGAATGGTTGTTTCAAGTGTTAATTGATATGTCGATGCATTTGCATGTTCTGCAGCTATTTTTTTTTATGCCCTTTACCTTTGATGTGTATTGTTATTACTAATCTAGTATTATAATCAATGCTGTAATGGCAAAATTTGCATATAAGCTTTTTATTTTCTTGATAAAAATCATCTTGAAATTCAATTGCTCTACTGCTTAATGTAACTTTTTTCAGACCCATATCGAAAATACAATATTAAAAAAATTTTTAATGTCAAATTTATAATTTATTTTGCACTTTAATATACTACTAAGATAATTTATTTTGTGCTTTAGCATACTACTAAAAATAATTTATTTTGCGCTTTAACATACTGCTAAAGATAATTTATTTTTCGCTTTAACATACTACTAAAGATAATTTATTTTGTGCTTTAATATACTATATACTAAAGATAATTTATTTTGCATTTAATATACTACTAACATTAATGCTTAATTTATTTTGTACTTTAATATATAGTACTATAAGAGTATATATAAATTCAGTATGGTATGATAGTTTGGTTTGTACTATATGATACGGTTATTACCTCTGTATAATCTGTATATTGATTACTAGTAATACGTACTATATACTATGTATAATTATGTAACGTAATATGTAACCAATAAATACTTATCAGATAAATTTAACTAATAAATACTTATCAGATAAATTAAACTAATAAATACTTATTGGATAAATTAAACTAATAAATATATATCAATAATATATCACAATCAATACATATAAGAAAATGCAAATTGCAAATCTAAACCTTTTTTATCTAACAATTTCTAAAGAAATAATAGATTCAAAATTAAAAATCAATATTAATATATTCAATACAAGTTCAAGAAATAATGATATGTTAAATCAACCCAAAGTAATTGTGCTATTCGATACAGATGATGAGCCAGTGCTAGTAATTTTTTATTTTAATAATCATTATAATGATAAATTAATATTTTATAATAATAATAAGTTATATTGTATTAAAAGAATCAACATTGAATTCATTTATTTGATATTATGAA